TGTGAGTGTGCAACGAATCTTGCCTCTGGAAGGACAGGCATGGATGCCGTTTGCAAGAAGTGGTGAGCACGTATAGTAATGGTGACAACAATAATAATAATACCAAGAATAACTACTTCTGTATGTATACAATTAGATTAGATCAGTTTGGCTTGTATTGGGTTACATAATTTTTGGGCTTGGGGCTCGGGCCAGGAGACCGCCCTTGCCCAGCGACTTTCCCTCCCTTGGCGTCCTACCTGTGGCGGCGCTGAGTGGGTGGCTCAAGGCTCTTGGGGACAGGCCGGGGTCTGGCTGCGATTGGAAGAATGCTAGTAAGAGTACGAATGCTACTAAGAGTAACATTGTGGCATAATTGTAGTAACAGTGCGTGATACTAGTCATAATAGTAAGAACAGCAAAAATAAAAATAGCAGATATACTAGTAAGTAGTAGCTCGTTATTTTTGCCGTTAGAGAGCTACTTTGCCGATGTGCTGGGCTTGAACAGGATTTTTGAGGACGTCGAGAACGTGTACCCCTGCACGCCTCTACAAGAAGGGATGATGGCAGAAACCCTTTTGGATCCACGTGCGAATGTGGAACAGCTGCTTGCCTGCAGTTGCAGCTTGCTTTGTCTCCAGGCACGAAGTGTTCATCTCAGGCTTCCTTTATTGCTTCGTGGAGTGGATGCTGCTGCCTGGAAAAGGGCTTGGCAGAAAACCGTGGGCCGGCACGAGGCACATGCTTGCCCGCATTGCGGGGACGAAGTCTTGCCTGACTCTGCGAGGCACTGCGGGCGTCGATCGCTGCCGCTCCGCAGCCTGCCTCTCAGGAGGGTCCTCGCTTTTGGCAGGCCGGGCTGAAAAGAGACCGTGAGGGTGGGGAAAGGGGGTTATCTGGCCCTGGGAGGTCGCCTTCAAGGCCAACTCGGAAGCTGCCTCGGTGCATTGGCAGGACGGGACTGGACTGGACTCAGACAAGGAAGGTGAAGCAACGCACAGTGCTGCAGTTGCACAGGAGGGTGTTTGGGACCTGTCTGTGGAGATGGAGAGGCCGACGTGTGCACGAAGAGGAATCGTCTGATCTGTTCAAGCCTTCGAGCTTCAGGTCCGGCAAGGATCCACAGGCGCTGCCGCCTCTAAGTCCTGACGAGGCAAGGCGGTTGGGCCGTGAGCCTCGTGAGCGGTAGGGCGGATAGGGGCTGAGACTTCACGACCGGAGGTTCCCAAGCTGCTGAGTGCCTAGGCATGCAGAAGAATTGTGGCAACTCCCTTTGCCTCCATGCTTGGCTGCACATGGCATGGGTCCGCCCAGCCCAGGCTTTCTGCGTGACTTCCTGCGGAGCGACGCAGCGGCAGGTTTCACGAGTGGCGGGCCTCTTCTGCGCTTCGCACTCTTCGAGGTAGGTCCCTCTCCCTTTCCCTCGGATTTCGGAGGCGCGATTTTGGTCCAGCTTTGTTGGTCGGTAAGACAATTGACAGGTTCGACGCGGCAAGCAGCAGATTGAGGCCATTGGCCATTCCGCGTGGAAAGATGCCGCTAACCTGGGCCCAAGAGTGAACTTTGCAAAGTTGAGGATGGCATCTTCGTTTTCGTCCGCACGGAGCACCATGCCATCTCTGATGGCTGGTCAAATCCGTTGCTGCTCCAAGATGCCCTGCATTTCTACGAAGGAGCAACGCAAAGAGATCCTCGACGCTTTGTCTGCTTCCAGCCCCCAGGAGGCACTCGGCTGGCGCCTGCCGCATCCTTGGCCTCCTTTGCCGCCTTCGTCCAGCTGCGAAGCCAGGCTCGAGAGACTGTTTGGAGACTCTACCGCCTTCCCAAAGACTCGAGTCTTTCTGTTTTTAGTCCTGCTGCTCACCGGAAGGGAAGGCGACGAGAAGAGATGCGGCGTTTCTGGCGTCAGCATCTTTGTGAGACAGGCCACCGGGAGATCCACCGAGGGCGTGGTCTCAGCAGTCGATGAGTGGGCCTAGCTCCGAAGCAGGGAATGTGCAGCTCCGCTGCCACAGACAGGTAATTCTAGTTTCTTGAGCACGCCGACAGGGCCGCCTGCTGTTCCGGCCCCGGCCCAGCGCGACTTGCAGGAAGGGTAGTCCGGACTCCACGGAGATGCAGATTGAGACAGGCTTTGACTTTGAGCTCGAAAGGAGTCTTTCAAACTGCAGCTGCGCCGACGCCTTCACGGCTGGTCGAAGCATTCGGTCCAGGAGGCCCAGTCGCACTGCCCAGAACGACAGAACCTATATGCGGCGCCGATGGCATGTGCAGGCTTTCTCTGAGGAAGGTGCTACTTCCGCCGCGGTGCTCCACAGTGCATGGGCACTTCTACTGGCCACTTGGCTCTGACCAGAGCTTGGCCTAAACCCTAAACCCTAAGCGGCCGCCTTGTTTGAAGCTCTGAAGGCACATCGCCAAATGGGCGACGTCTTCGGGGCCGTGCTGTCCGGACGCCAGGCTGCTGTCTCGGGCGTGGAAGGCCGGCCACCGTCTGTAGATATTTGGCCTTATGTAAACCCATATATCATATATGTATATGATAAGTGTATATATATATATATGTGTCATGAAAATATATTATGCTCTTTCTTTCATATATGTATATACACATCTATGTGTGTATTCTGTTTATTGCACTATACAGAGGAGTAGGTATGACACTATACCCTACCTCATATTATCTAGTACACCATGAGCATAACTTCCTTCGGAATGTACGTGCCAATAGTTCCACGCTTTTTGACCTGTGAGGGATGGTGGGGCTCCTGATCTCGACGGTCCCTTTGCGAGCTCGCATTCCTATCGCCTCGAGCTGCAAAGGCCGGAATCGCCCCGCCCAAAAGACATGATTGAAGATGCTGAGTGCTCAGATTTCGTGTTGGAGCTTCAGCAGCTACTCTTGGATGTGACGGAGCACCAGCAGCTTGCTCAGATGCTTCAAGACCAGTTGAGTTGAGTGCTGTAGCACGGCATCCCGCGTCTTGCGTAGCAACAGCAAGGAACCTGTGAAGAGAGTAGCCAACCCTAGGTACTGCAACCTTGCATCGGCCTAAGCGAGCTCTGTCTCTTGGGAAAGAGCGACTTTGGTTTTCTCGAGGCCCACATTCGGGAGTGGTGCGAGTTACCTGGCTCTGCCCGAGTGCCCCAAATGCAGAATTCGAGCTGCGAGGCTGCGTCCAACTGTGTAATTTGCGAGGATCTCTTTCAGACCACGCTGGTTTACGAGAACTTCCCGATGGAAGGAGGTGGCCCATCTTGGCTGGAGGCCGGTCTGCATCTTTCGCAGTGGCCTTGAATCGTCATGTTCCATTGCTCCTGTTGGCGAGGCTCTGCATCCGTTCGATGAATCCATTTCGATCACTGGGGCGACGTTGCCCATGGTCGCCATGCTCATGCCGGCAGCAGGAGCTTTCGCCTGCTTTGAATGAAGCCAGTGGTGCATGGGGGCAGTTCCCGGTGGCGCAGGCGACGAGATGGAACTCACACTGCGCTTCGATGCTAGCCTGTGCACGATGTCGGTGGCCACGAGTCTAGGCTGCATCTGCTTTCATCTGTTCTCTGTCCCTGTACTGCGCCGTAGACCCGGCAGGTAGGCACCAGCATCACATCATCAACATCGCCAAAACGAAAGACGTCGCCATAGCCATCACGGCTATAAGTGCCCCTGATCAAGCAACCAATGACAACAGCAATAGCAGTGGGAGGAGCAGCAGGCATCGTCTTCGGCAGCAGGAACAGCAGCGCCCGCGAAGTTCCCTTGCAAATTGTCGTCCTCCTCTTCATCTTCTTCTTTCGTCCTCATCCTCTTCGTCCACAACGCCTAACCTTGTTACTCGGGGCGGCATCATTCTCAAAGACCTCTAAATATTTACCATCATCATTACCGTCTTCATCCTCATCCTCATCCTCGTCATCATCATCATCATCATCATCACCATCACCGTCATCCTCCTCCTCATCCTCTTCCTCTTCCACATCATCTTCATCGTCATCGTCATCGTCGTCATCCTCATCATCACCATGACCGTCATCGTCAGCCACAGCATGGCCATCCTCTTCGTCATACTCGTCACGAGCATCGCCGTCTTGTCGCGGCATGGATGTTGGCACTTACACGGCCACACATTGTGACATGCAGACACGCTCGCTCTGAGAGCTCTACGAACTTCTCAGTTAAACTCATTCCACCCTGGGGCTGGTGCATCTCGACAGAGCCTCTGTTGATGTTCACACGCTCAGCTCCAAAGTTCTCCTTGGCAAATCTTTGACACCCCAGTGTCGTCTTGCATTACAGATCCCCGACTTCCGAGGGAGTGGGCGGCGGAGTTTGACATGATACTCAAGTGCATCCTTGAGAGGCAGTTTTCAGAACGCGGGACATCTCTTTGCTTTTGACACCGTGTGGTGAGGCCCCGCATGACATGCGGCGAGCTCCTGGCAATGCTTCCGATCCTCAAGTCTGCAGGCTCGACGGAGCCTTGTCTTTGAGCTTCCAGATGCGGCGATACTGGAGGTCATGCAGACCCGTCTTTCCAACCGTCGCCTCAGCAAGGCAGCCTGGTCCGGCAGTTAGCTTAGCAAGCTTGGCAACTTGTCCTGGGAACGCGGCAAATGCCAGATGGTTGGATCTCGGCCTGGGCACCCCTCTTGGCATCACAGGCCGAAAGATGCCGTCGAAGTCAGTGTAGCGCGGTTCTCGTTCAGAGCAACCCGGACATGCAATTTTCACTGGATCGAGGCAGCAGTGTCCAGCTTGCCCCACTGTTTGAAACCAGCGCGCGAGGCATCCGCACAAGTATTGGCAAGTGCATGTTTTCCGTCGCACATCCTTGTGGGAGGCCGTGCACTCGCTTGCAGCCGCAGCCACAGAAGGGACCAGCCGAGCGGGGAATGCTGTTTGATGGTGCCGGTGTAGTTTCTGTTTTGAGATGGAAAAGCTTGTGCCTGAAATGTCAGCCGATCTCAAGATGCAATGTAGGGAATTAAGGTGTCAAGACGGCACCCAGAGCCTCTCGAATGAAGCGAGCGTTAACCTCACTGCCCTCAGATTTGAGTCCGCGACTACTGCAAGGAGTGCCATTGAGCATATGCCTCAGTGGGTGCGGACAGCACTGGTCAGCTCCGAGCCAATACACAGATGACTTCTATGCCACCCGCAGATTCTGCCGGAGAACGGAGTACTTCGACGTGTTCCTGAGCCACGATTGGGGGACGTCGCGATTTCTTAAGCTGTGCTCTCTGGCTGTGATGTTCAACGTCCGTGCTGCCTCGAACCTCAGATTCGATGGACCCGCTTTAGACTTGCTTAGACACACCTCTTTCAGCACAGTGCCCCGTGACTCAAGGATTCTGTCCATAAGCGTCGGGATTACAGTGGGCCTCTTGCGTGCCTTTGGCATCATTCCCGACGAGAAATGGACCGAAGTCTTCCCACTCGCAGCCTTTTACTCGCTCCTTTTCTTCTGGCAGCACCTGCGTGAGCTCTTCTTGCGCCCCTTAGTCGTATTTCTGGATCGCCTGTGCATCGCGCAGCATGATGACAAGCTGAAGGAGCAAGGTGCGGGCCCGGGCTGCAGTGTGGGTCCATTTCATCATGGCCTGGCCTCGAATCACGTGTCACCTCCCAAAACCCAAAGACCTCTCAACACTCGAATCCCTCTATAATCCCCTCCCAAAGCTCAGCCGTTTTTGGTAGCGCTGACCTTCAGGGGCCCAAGATAAAACCATCGTTTGTTGGCGTTCTTTGCCTGGGAGGTATCCTGGGCCTCGCCGGATTTCTGGATCGTTCCAACATTTTGGCAGTCCTGTGGTCGCCGCGCTACTTCAAGAGCGCCTCGGCTGCTTTCGGGGATCGTTTGGGCCCCCCCAAAGAAGGAAGCAAAGGAGCCCTAGCTGAGGAGCCTGGTGCACCTACGAGCTGGGAACGTTCCTGCGCGAGCCTGGCAAGGAGAAGTCCGTTCGCATCATGCCCGTGAAGCTGGCACCGACGCTCATCGCCTTCTGTGTCTGCTGGCAGGTTATTGGCTTCGCAGCTGATACTGCCAGCGAGTACTTCAATGAGTCGGGTCCAAAAGAATGGCTGCTTGTTGGAGGGACGCTTCTTTTCGTCATCTTCTGCGGTGCTCCGGTTTACATGTACATCGGGATGGGGTTGATTCGTGACTTGGTGGCAGCAGGAAAGCTATGCGGCTCTAGTTAGCTTGTTTCCCGCCGAATCTGGCAGTTAACATTACCAATCCCAGCTAGCTTGAAGCGAGGTGACATCGAGGCCTTGCCAGAGAACTTGAACAACTTCAAAATCCAGGAAGCTGAGTGTTTCTGTTGTGCCAACAACCATCGCAATCCATGTACTGGTGATGAGCTTACGTGTGACCGGCGATTAATATTCCGGACACTGAAGAAATGGTATGGCACTCCAGACGATGACACGGAGGCACACTTGGAGTTCTTCAATGACTTTGTTCGGTGCCGGCTTTCGCGCACGATCCGCCAAACCGTTGGGGGATACACGCTGCCTTTGAAGCAGTACCTTTACATCGCCCTTGGTGCGAATGCCCCCAACCTGGCAGACTACATCTCCAGAATCGGAGCAGGTCCATGTCCGTCCGGTCAGGGCTGCGCTGAGGTGCTTGCGTCTGATGCCGACCGCGTCGTTTGGGCATGCAGGGGGCTGATTGGGTGGACGAGTGTCTCGCTGCAGATGCTCTTTGGCATTTGGGTTTCTATCGCGACTTGGAAGATGGGTGTGCGCCTGATGCGATACTGCAGTCGAGCGTGCTTGGCCCTGACCCTCCCGTATCTCATCTTTCCGTGGGTTCTGGCAGTGGCCTGGTTGCCGATCCGCGTGACCTTCGACCTCACTTCCTGTGACAGCCTGCTGCCAGTCATCCCATTTCTTGGGCTGCTCACTATCACCTTATGTCTTTTTTCAGCAGGAGCCTCGCCGAAGATGATCGCTCCTGACATAGCCGTGAATGAGATGCTCAAAAGCAAGTCCCTCAAGCCTGCCTGGGAAGCTCAGGATGTACAGAATGTGGCTCATGCCACAACCCAAGACACTTTTTAATGCAAGCAGTGCCCTTCAGCGTTTTTCACACTTCGGTGCAGCCTGCTACCAGGGCGCAGCAGGCTCTGCTTACTGAGGTGGGGAGGTTTCAACAGGATGCGTGGGGGTCTTCATTGAGCTAGCAGCTAGAACTTGAGCTTATGCCATGCCTTTTTCAGTCTGCGTGTGGGATGTGTGCATCCTGGATCTGTCCAACGGTCCATGAGGGCTTTGAAGGCTACTGAGCTTTGATCTGTGGCGAGTTATCCCCTCCCAGTGCCCTGGAACCCCTCCGAAGAGCCAAATTAAGGACGAGAACGGGGCAGGGATGATATGGGAGCTGGTAGCAAGCGAGCTGCATGAGCTCCACCTGAGTTTCAAGCGTTGGACCGCTTCCAAGAAGATGCGATCCTTAAGCCAAAGGTTTGAAGCAATGAATTTGAAGAGGAACCGTCGAGATATCGGCTTTTCTCTGGCAGTGCCGACATTGCATGTGTGCTGGCTCTGGCTAGCTCTCTCGCCAACGAAAAGAGCGCTTTGCAACGTTTGAGAAGCTACACCAGTGCCGTAGCAGCAGCCCGCATGTCGCTTGTGTCGACCAGTCGGGACTGGCGGGGTTTAGCACTCCCGCCCTAAGTTCGGATCGGCAGTGGTGTAGCTCAGGCAAAGCTCCAGCCGGACAAGTGCGAGCAAAGTCAGCAAGCCGCATTTGATGTAAGCAGCTGGTCGGTCGCGGTCGCGGGCTGCTTTTAATCAATCGAGGCTTCTCCTGCCTGCGAGCTTGGGCGAATTCGCTGGGCCGACGGCTTTGTCATCTCGCTCAATGCCCAACAGCCGCTTGGTGTTCATGTTGGAAACTATGCAGCGGGTGCAAACGACATGGTGGGGGAAGTCCAGGTTTCGGTTCTGGCCTTTCCGCCTTCGGCCGACGCGCCCCCGGTGCCCATCCACGTCAACTTCCAAGGCCAGACAAAGAACACATGTGCAACAGGTTGCAGAATATTGCATTGGTTGGGTATGGGTGCAGCTTTCTTCTAGCCACCCGTCGAAGCCGCATTGAAGCTATTAAGCAGACAGTCATTTGTCAGAAACTCGTGTAGTTCTCTTGCACCAGGCAGCAGGAACGGGTCAAATTAAAAGGGTGGGTCTGTTCGATGCAGAGTACTCAAAAGCATTACAGCATCCCGCAGCTGGTCTGATGAGGCCTCGACACTCTGTCTTTGGAGAATCCCCGGCCACCACCTGGAGTGCTGAGAGCACTGGCGGAGAGGTGGGGGGGGGGGGGGTAGTTTCAGGTATTTCTATGCGACAGCGGCGACAGCTGGAGCTTGACAATCTGATAGGATAATTGTGCTGGAATGCCTCAGGCTGGCCAGCAGGACCGCCTCCACCGCCGCGGAAGTACCAGGAGGCGGGTGCTGTGGCACAGATGCACAGGTAAAGCACGTACTGTACTGGGTAGGCATCCATCCGAGCAGGACTCTTGTGGGCTGCAGTCGGATGCGAGGATGTGCTGGAGTGCTTCGGCCCAACACAAAAATTTGGATGCTCGAACCGGGTTGCGGCTGGGATCGGCAGAGTTTTTTCGGTGAGTTGCAGCTTTTTGTTGCGACTGAAGGCGGCTCGAAGCCTTGCAGCTGGAGCCCTGCTTCTGCATCGTCGTCTCCGGTGCCGAGGCTCGCCTTTAGATCCGCTGTGTAGGACCGGGTTTTTAGCAGAGCCAGAGCTTGAACAGGCGGAGTTGCGCTGTCGCCCGGAGCTGGGGATCGCAGAGCTGCTCAGAGACCTGGAAGGCCCGTGCCCGCCCCGCCCGTCCTTGGCCTTTCTTTCCTTCCGGTGAAGACGAGAGGCATGGACGAGCATGCACTGCCTCCTGCAATGCGCCAGCTTCTTGTGGAGGCCTGTGGTAGAACTGCAACGAAACAGCCGCACATTCCTGGTTCGAGATGTGCCCTGACCTGGCTTTGTTCCTGCGAAAAGTTCAACAGTTTGGCAGTGCTTTCCAGGACTTCAATGCCACGGAACATGCATACGAGCCAGACCTCGTTCACACACGATTCCTTCATCGTGCGAAGTCCGTGCCTGCTGGCCACTCTGCATTGGTGCCTGGCTTAGCTAATGTCATGAGTCATGATCGAATCCATGCCTTTGGCACGTGCTGCGCTTGTCCAATCCCTCGAGCCCTTCCTGAATCGTTGATTCATTGAATGTTTCTGCAAAGGCTGGAGACCTAAAGAGCAGTCATTGTGAGACGTGTGAGCTTGATACAAAGCCCCGGAGGCTTTTGTCAGAGACCTTGCCTCAACTGTACAAGCACCTCTTGCCTTGCCTTCAGATATTCAGTTCAGCATGTCGTGTCTGCAGGCGCGCCTTTGGCCGAAGCTTTAGCTACCGGTGCCAGTAGCTTCCATAGGGAGCCTAGTACGAAGCCATAGGCCTGCTGGCAGATCCGAAAGGAACTCTGGAGTGCGACCGAGACGGCCGCCGATTGCAAAACAGCGACCCTCTTCAGTTTTCTGCCTTTGAGCTTTCAGTGGTGTGGGGTTTGCTGCATTGGGCGAGCGGTGAGGCTATCAACACACTTGTGTTGGTAGCGGAGCTCGAACCAGTGGTTCTTTGGAGTGAGCTCTTGGTGGTGTTGGATAGCCCTGGCTGGCCCTTCACGATCGGGAGTGCAGAGCCTCAATCCTGAAGGAAGATACGTGGAGGCACGAGCCCTTCGCCACGACCCAGGACTATGGCTACCAACGATCATGGTGATCATCGAATTCGGCGCGGATGGGACGGGGACCCAGCTACCTATCCCGACTTCATGCGACGGGTGCGACTCTCCTTCGAGCGCACGCCGCGCAAGAAGGTCCACCTCCTTGGACCGGAGGTTGTCGCTCAGTTGAGCGGACGTGCCTGGATTACTACTCAGCACCTAGATCATCGAAGGTTAGTCCGGCGGAACGGCGTCATATATCTTCTCGAGTTCCTCCATGAACGACTTGGCAGAACTCCGGTACCAGACGTAGGTACCCGACTTGAAACACTCATACTACGCCTACGTCGACCGGCAGGCCAGAGCATGTCCACATGGAGCAGTCAGCTACGCTATCACTACAGGCAGCTTCAAGTTGCTCTTGGCCGAGTTCGCAAGGACCAGGAGAGGAAGGACGACGCCTCTACCGCTTCCCCGTCTACTTCGAGGCCCGCAAGATCCTCGCCTCCCTCAACGAGTTCCCCTCGCAGAGCTAGCCGTGAGACCCAGGAGGAACCCCAAGGGGAAGATGATGCGGATGAAGGGGAGACGGTTGGACCTCCAGAAGATGATCGTGACGAACTTCTGGCGGATGAACCTGCAGGTCGAGAGTCCCCTTCTTGGCGGCGCGGCGACGCAAGGAGAAGGACAAGGAGTCAGACTCTGACGACTCCACCCGTGCCCTCGAGGACCTCGCTTTGTGGGAGCGCTACGATGAGACGCTTCCGGATGTGCTGCCCAGCGAAGTGCTGGGATGGCTTCTTCTACGCCGCTCTGGGATTAGTCACCAAGCTTCCTTAGCTGTGCAGTCTGCCGCTTCCAACTCCCTTCGCTTGGATGACGTGGAGAAATCCCTCCGGGCGATGGAGGATGAGATCCTTGGCCAAGAACTTCGTCCCCGTGGAGGACATGGATCTGGTGGAAAAGGCGGCAATCGCCCTCGCACCTATTGGGTGGAAGAGAACGGCGAGTGGGCCATGTGGCTTGGGGAGAGCGGTGACCTGGACGAGCTCTTCGATGGAGGCGAGATCCACTATGTGGGCAAGAAGTTGCCTTCCCAGGTGCACCCCGAGCCCTATGTGAGCTCGGACTACTACGAGGACTGGACCTACTACAACTCCGAGTGGGGCCCCTACTACGACGAGTGGGAGGCCGAAGACTTCGCTTCATCCTGGTGGTACGAGGACCTTCCCCCGGAGCAGCACAAGGAGCTGGAGGAGGCCTATGCCCTCTTGGACCAGAAGGCTCGCAACTTCGTGGAAGCTCGGCAGGCTGTGAAGGCCCGCAATCTTTCACGTGGCTTCTACCCGTACGCCCCATCAGCAAAAGGGGGTGCTTTCAAAGGGAAGAAGGGCAAAGGCAAGGGAAAGCCGAAAGGAAAGGGCTATGGCTCGCCTTCTCCTCCATCGGCTCCCCCAGTGCTTGCTTGCTACCTCCGGAATGGGCAGCTCCGGAGACGATGGCTCTGGCTTCTTGGGCGCTGCCGTGGGCGACGCCGGCTACACGGGATGCTTCATTTGCGGCAACAAGAACCATGACTTCAGACACTGCCCGAAGCGCCAGAACAAAGGAAGCAACAAGGGGGCGGTTCATTTCGCCTCTGACGTGGGAACTATCTACCAGGTGATGGATACCACGACTTCTACTCCCCCGAGCTCTACGATCTACGCCATTGAGGAGCACCACCCCGACGACGAGATTTTCTCCTCAGAGACCGAGGACCTCTCCGGCTATGCGGTCTTGGACTCGGGCGCCACTGAGACGGTGGCTTCGTTACCTGCCTTGGAGGCCTTGATGGGAGTACGACGGAGCATGAGCCCTTCATCTTCAGCCTCGTCGTTTCAGGTTCTTGACCAGCCCCCAAAGAGGTTCAAGTTCGGCAACGGGGAGTTTGCAGCTTCGTCATCGTTTGTGTTGCTTCCCCAGCGAATAGGCGATCACCAGGTGGAGTTGGGTGTGTACACGTTGGACGTGGTTGGAGTCCCGGTCCTCATAGGGATTAAAACCATGATGCGTCTTCATGCAATAGTGGACTTTGCCCATTGCCGAGCTGTGTTTGCTGCTGTTGACGCAGGCCTGGTTGTTCCGTTGAAGCGAAGCAGATCGGGTCATCTCTTAGTGAGCCTGAAAGACAATTGGCTGCAGCAGGGTCACAGACTGGATGCAATGACAGCCCAGCCCGACATGAACCCTTTGTTGTCAAAAGGGGGTCCCGCGAGCAGCTTCATGGTGCAGAGTGCAGTTGAGCCAGTAGGTCAGGACAGTGAAGCAGTTCTTGAAGGTTGTGAGAGCCAGATCAGTGATCATGATGTTGCTGTATGTGCGCATGCTCCTCCTGTAGCTGACCCTCCTCAGCCAGATTGCCCTGATTGCGTGATGACTTCGACTACCTCTTTGCAGCCTTCAGCAGTTCAAGCTGTAGATTCTATGCGCTCCTTGGCGGTGCTGACGGGGTTGATTGCCCTACATGGCCAAGGCTCCTGCGGCAGCGAAATCTCGCGGCCCCAAGAAGCAGGCGGACCCGCTCGACGAGGAGAGGACCGAAGGACCGGACTTGAGGGACCCTCGAGCCAAAGGAAGCCCCTGCTATGGCAACCATCGTGTTGCCAAGGCCTACAAGGGGAGCGTGAGTGGGGCCAATCAGTTTGGGAGCTGGACAGGATGCGAGGTGTGCAAGATTCGCCTCAGCTACACCCCAAGGATGGGATGCCACGGCATCCACCGCAAGAGCGCTCCGTTGGCCCGAGACGTGCAGGAGATCCATCAATCCCTTCCTCCCGAGACGGAGGTGTATCCATCGAATCGGGAGATCTCCTTGACGGCCGCGGAGAACAGCGCCTTGGCTCGGCTGGAATCCCTTCGGCGTCTTCGCAAGGGATCTGGAAAGACGAACAACCTCACCAGCGAGGTGCCGTCCAAGGACAAGAACACTGGGGATCCCTCGAAGACCGAAGACCAATCCAGCAAGAACACTGGGGATCCATCGAAGACCGGAGACCAATCCAGCAAGAACACTGGGGATCCAAAGGGGCAACCCAAAGCCCAGGTGTCAGCTTCGTCAAGTCCAGTGTCTCCGGGAACGATTGTGGTGGACCCAGAAGAGCTGCCGACTCACCACAGCAGGAAGGCATCGCGACCGAGTCAACAGAGTGCCGAGAAACTGGAGCGCGAGCTGTGAACGACCACCCTCGTGAAGAGGCTCACGTCCTGTCCCTGATGAACACCTCTGAGGTGGAAGGCCTGGCCACGAACTTGCAGACCCATGGCTCCTTCGACTATGCGTCTATGGAAAGGCTGATTGGCCTGATGCAGCCCAAAACCGTTCGTCCGGGACGCCAAGCCACTGTGAAGGAGCGAAAGTTCGGTTTTACCATGGTGTTCGGGTTGTATGCCCACGGCTCCTATTATGGTTGCACGAGAGACTCAGAAAGGCATCCTGCTTTATGTCGTTATCTCAACGAATGTGTCCGTCGCCTACGACCTGATTCAGGATTTCATTGGACTTCCCTCGCGCTGATGGTCAACATGAAGGGAGCGATGCACCTGGATGCCCATAATGAAGCATCCTCCCAAAACCTGGCATTTGGTCTTGGACCCTATGGAGGAGGAGAGTTGTGGGTTGAACTCCGTGATGGTGATCCTTCTGATCCCGCTCTCCCTCTATCCTGGCGGGAAGTCCCTGGAGGTCCTAAAGTTCCAGGACAAGTTCATTCTACCCGTCACCGCCCCACGATGTTCTCTCCCAAGCGGCACCACAAGACCTTGCCCTGGACAGGTGTTCGTTATACAGTGGTGGCCTACACAGCCCGAAGTTGGCTTGAGGCCCGTGGCGATGCGCACCTCAGAGAAACTCTCAAGAGTCTGGCTTTTATGACTCCGAGGCCTACTTCATCGACTACCAGTTCGACGGCCCAAGTCTGTTCAGTTGATGATGGAGAGCCCGACTATGAGCTCGCGGAAAGTGAGGAGTTTCTCACCTCCTTGCCCAGTATGTCGAGTTTGAGGACGGGCTGAAGGAGATCTTCTTCCAGTACCCCAACAATCAAACAACCAATGTGGCGCACCTCTGCTCCCCACGGTTGGAGCCCCTGGATATGGAGCAGACGTTACAGCGAGAGGAATGGACCTACCAAGTCCTCTCCCATGGGGAAGGCTGTGACCTTTCCAACAACCTGGGTTTCCACAAGGCCCGGGAACGCTTATCTTTGCTGAAGCCTGAGTGGTTGTGGTGCCATGTGCCCAGAGGCCCCTCAACATTGTTTCGTGAAGATGGAGCATGGCTAGATTTCAAGCAGGCTGCTAAAGCGAAGCGCTACCTGAAGGTGATTCGTCATCTTCTCCTCCTCTCCCGTGATCATGTACTTCGAGGAGGAAAACTTATTTGGTTCCTTCCCTCCTCCAGTCAGGGAAGAAACGTTCGAGAGGTTCAGCGATTCTGGAAGCACCATGGCAAAGGGCCCCCCATCAACCCGGTGGATGGAGTCTTGTTGTTTTCCAACGTCCTCGAGGTTTGTGACCTACCTCCTGGATTACCTCTTGAGCGCTTTTGGGCCTCTCTGACTTCCTCTACTACAACTTCAAAGGCATTCCTGTTGGATGAGGCTCAGGATACAGTTTTCCGGTCGACACCAGTTGCCTCGAGACCCTGACTACATCGGAGTTGGAAAGGTTGATGCAGCATGTTCATCAGCTACATCGGCGTTTTGGCCATCCTTCAAATCGCCTTTTGGTGAAGAACCTGCTTCACCGCAATGCAGACGAGAAGGTGGTGGCAGCGGCCTCCAAGTTGGAGTGCGATGAGTGTCTTGAGTCGCAAATCAAGATGCCCTCGCCGGCCGTGAACCTGGATAATTGCGAGAAACTATGGTCCTGTCTCCAGGTGGATGGATTTCACTTGCGATGTGGGGACACCGTGATGCATTTCCTCTTGATGGTGGATGAGGCCAGTGGATTTGCGGTGATCAGGGAAATGTTTTCCCATCCGGAGGAGAACCATCGCAACATGACCGGCCCCGAGGTGGTGCAGGTGCTCCAGGAGGCCTGGTTCCAGTACTTTGGGTACCCTGAGACGCTCAAGTTGGACTTGGAGGGTGCCCTGAGGAGCAAGGTCTTGCGTGAGGCCTGTGCTGACATGACAAAGGCATCGATTTGGTGCCTGCGCCGGCTGAGTACCACGAGATGATTGCCGATGTGGAGAGGGAGATTGGCTATGTGCGGCAGCGCCTGGAACGGTTCCTACGTGGCGGAGCCTTTGAGAAGCCAGGACAGGCGGCTCTTGCAGCGGTGGCGGCTCACAACACCCTTGCCAGGGTTCATGGGTTTTCTCCTCTTCAATGGGCCTTAGGCCGGGATATGTCTCTGGGCAACCGAGCTCTGGAGGCTGTTGGAGATGCTGTTTCGTCCTCCCGAACGACAAACTTTGCTCATCAAGGCAACTTGCGTTTGGAGGCGGAGCAGTCGTTCTTGAAGCACCGGGCCGACCAGCTCGCCTCCCGAGCAAAGAATGCCAAGGTTCGTACTCAAGTCCGCTTCTTCCCAGGAGATTTGATCTTTTATCGTCGCTACAAAACCCCGGCTGACCTGCCAGCGAACTCTTGGGTAGATCGACCGAGGCTGCGTGGAGCACGGTGGTACGGCCCAGGGAGGGTACTTGCCTGTGAGACGAAAGTTGAGGAGGGACACCGAAAGCCCTCTCAGTACATCTGGGCAATTTGCTCAGGACGGTTGAAGAAGTTCCACAGCACTCAGCTGCGCCACGCCTCGCCCAGTGAGCGCCTCACTCACGAGGCCTTGAGGGACATCACTATGCCGTGGACAATGACCTCCCTGACTCGATTGTTGGACAAGGGAGCCTACGACGACGAAACTCGCTCCCGGGCGGCCCGCCACTTTCAGCTAGGACGCAAGAAGCGGGGTTTTCACCGCCGAGCCCCAGGAGCACAACCTCATGCACTACCACCATCCGGGCCACAGGGACTTCCTCCCTCACCCTCGGAACTTCTGGAGTTTCCCTCGGATGAAGAGATGATCCCTGATTCCTCGATGAGAAAGGCCCCTCGTTTACGGGAGCCAGAGACCCAGGGAGTTGCCTCTTCGGACTCAGTGGATGTCCACCGGCTTCTTCATGATCCTCGCTACATGCCGACCTCCTCCGCATCAAGCTTTCAAGAACAGCGCCGACTCCATGAGCAAGATGATCGCCCATGGCATGTTCAACATGGCGAACTTCACTATGCAGAGGAGGAGGCGGAGCTCGGGATCTACTCGGTGATCCTGGACATGCCGGCGAACGACAAAGAGTGGAAGAAGGTTCTCAAGGACCCTCGCAAATTCTTGGCGAAATCGGTCCAAAAGGGTGTGGAAGTCAGCTGGAATCGGCTCGATGAGACCCAACGAGCCGCGATGACTGAGGCCAAGCAAGCCGAAGTGGCTTCCTGGATTTCCAACAAGGTGGTGAAGGCTGCCCTTCCCCACATCAGCCGCGAGCAAGCTCTTCGGATGAGGTGGATTTATACCTTCAAGGCGGCGGAACCCGGGAAGGTGAAGGCCAAGGCTCGCATGGTCATCCTTGGCTATAGCGACCCGTCATTGTTGGACCAGGAGACTTCCTCGCCAGCAATGTCTCGCCAAAGCAAGATGCTCTTCTTCAACTATGCCACGGCTCGCCGGTGGAGGGTATTGGCGGGTGATGTGAAAACCGCCTTCTTGCAGGCGAAGGCGCCTGACCGCCAGCACCCACTATACGCACAACCTCTTCCAGAACTGGCGGCGGCGATGAACCTCACTGAGGAGCAGATGGTGGAGCTCCTCGGGTCGGCCTATGGTTTGACGTCTGCCCCGAGAGAGTGGTTTCAAGACCTTACCACTACGTTGAGGAAGTTGAATGCAGTGCCATGTGTCTCCGACCCCTGCATTTGGAGGCTCTTCGACTCCGCCGGGACTAAGGTGATTGCCCTCATCGGACTGTACGTCGACGACATCCTCTTTTGCGGCGACGAGGGGGACCAGCTCTACTGCACCTTCTTGCACGAGTTGCACCAGGCCTATGCATGGAGTCCGTGGGAAGCGGACAACTTTAGCCACTGTGGTGTGCGGGTGCAGCAGTTTGCGGATGCCAGCATCCTGTTGGACCATTCAGAGTACTGCACGGAACTGGTTCAAATGCCAGCAAGAGCCAAAGGAGACGACAGCGAGCTGTCGGTGCAGGAGCTTTCACAGGCTCGAGCCATCTTGGGCTCTATCCAATGGAGGGCATCCCAGACGGCACCGCAACACAGTGCTAAGGTGTCGTATCTCCTGTCCATGTTGGCCACCAAGCGTGGAGAGGTCGTGGACATGGTGAATAAGTTGGTCCGCGAGGTGCACTCCTCGCGTCATGTGATCCTGCGAAAATGGTCATGATCGGCTGGAGCGACGCTGCAGTCGCCAATCGGCCGGACATGAAGTCGACAGGAGGCCACTTGTTTGGCCTCATGAACCCCGACGAGTTCCGGCGAGGACAAGGCCGTATTAATGCCATTACCTGGAAATCTGGTCGACTCCAGAGAGTGGCACGCAGCAGCCTTTCAGCCGAGACCCAAGCCCTTGCTGACCTCGACGGTGACATGATGTACGCGCGCCTTACGTGGGCGGAAATGAATGGATCCCGAGGAGACCTGAAGGATAAGAACGATTGGATCCGTTCGGTGCCTTCCACAATGGTCATCGACGCCAGAGCCCTCTACGACGCTCTTGACCGCGGAGATCTGACGATCTCCAACATGAAGGACAAGTTTTCTGCATTGGAAACTTTGGCCTTGGCTCAGAGCATGACCCTGCTTGGCACCCAACTGCAGTGGACGGATAGCGACCATCAGTTGGCTGACGGATTGACGAAGGTTCAAAAGCAGGACACTTTAAAGCGCTTCTTGAGTAGCGGTAGCTGGAAACTACGCCATCCAGGCGCTTTTATGAGCGCAAAGAAGAGACGCGCTCTCGAGGCTTTGAGCCAACCTTTTGATTTGGAGGCAGATCGCTAAACTGGTGATCTTTCGACAATGATTTCCGGGGCATGTCAGAGACCTTGCCTCAACTGTACAAGCACCTCTTGCCTTGCCTTCAGATATTCAGTTCAGCATGTCGTGTCTGCAGGCGCGCCTTTGGCCGAAGCTTTAGCTACCGGTGCCAGTAGCTTCCATAGGGAGCCTAGTACGAAGCCATAGGCCTGCTGGCAGATCCGAAAGGAACTCTGGAGTGCGACCGAGACGGCCGCCGATTGCAAAACAGCGACCCTCTTCAGTTTTCTGCCTTTGAGCTTTCAGTGGTGTGGGGTTTGCTGCATTGGGCGAGCGGTGAGGCTATCAACACACTTGTGGCTTTCCTTTGAAGCCCCAAACAGCCGACACCCGGCTTTCTTGCGAGGCTCAGGGAGAAACGTGGGGCCTCTGATGCGCATGATGTTGACTTTGGATAGCAACTGCCGGAAGACCAGACGCGCAGTTGGCCTTGCTGAAGCCACGCGGTCGATACTCCGGAGAAGGCAGAGAAGGGGGAGTGTCCCCACACTTGCTTCCGTTGTCTGAGCGCCCTTCACGAGGGAGCAAGTGTGCGTTCACATGGCAGTCTCAGGTGTCCCACGGTCCTGCGGGCGATGTCGCCACGAGCTACGAGGATCACGGCCGTGTTGAGTTGAGCTAGCTGAGTACCTGCGCTTGCCTCCACCATCCGCCTTTTTTCGAGGACCTCGCGGAGAAGGCGGTAAAGGCTGCGCGTTGGCTGCTGGAGCACCAGATTCGATCGGGCCCCGTTGCTGTTTGGATGCCGCGCAGCGAGACGGCCGGGTCCCCGGCCGGCCGAAGCGGTGACATTGAACCGCTAGAGCCCTGTATGACACCCCGTTCTTGAGAGCGTTTCTGATCTCGCTTGCCCTGTGCAGGTTGTGGTGTCCGCCCTCGCGATTCTCATGGTCGGGGGAGTGTATGTCCCTTGCGATGATCGCTTGCCGTGGCAACGTGTTGAGCACATGGTGGAAGATGCAGGGGTGATTCTGATTCTGGCAGGACCAGTGCAACTGTACCGGACGAGTTTAAAGGAGCAGCCGACATTTCTGATCAGGACCGCAGCAGCTGCAGCTGATCCCCTCCTCCATCCCGGCCGTTGATGGATCCAAACTCTTGGAGCCCGGCCTGGATTGAGTCAGGGCGCTTTGAAAGCAAAGAGAGGCAGAGCTTGTGCCAAGGAGACTGAGCAGGACGCGCGCGACGGCGTGCTCCCTTCGTCCATCGACTGCGACGAGCTTGCATACGTGATCTTCACATCGGGATCGACAGGTCCGGTAGGGTACCCCATGCTCAGCCGAATCCTTACTTGTAGATGCCGCCAGCCTCGTCCAGGAAAGCCGAAAGGAGTCGCCGTGACCCACCGCTCCATAGTGCATCTCATCGACTGGGTGCTCCTTGCCGGCAGACCAGTCACGCGCAGTGCATGCCTACCGCAGAGGTAGTTGCCGAGAGACTTTCACAGGAACAGCACCTTCAATGTCACACAGACGGACGCTTTGCTCTTCACCACCTCCATCGGATTCGACCTCTCGTGCTACGACATCTTTGGGTCTCTGTCAGCGGGAAGCACGATTCACTTTTGGAATGGTTCCGCGGCATCTCCCGACCAGCTCTTCGAAATCGTGGTTTCAGAGAGGATCAGCTTCTGGGACTCCGCTCCCCAGGTCCTCCAGCAACTGGAGCCCAGGCTCGCCGAGGCGGCTTTGAGGGATCTGCGCCTGGTCTTCCTCAGCGGAGACTGGGTGCCCATCTCCTTGGTCCAAACCCTGCATCGGGTTTCCGGAGCATCGGTGGTTGCGCTGGGGGGTGCCACAGAAGTTACGGTTTGGTCCAACTACTTCGAAGTACCACTGATCGATGGAGACTGGCCTTCCATTCCCTACGGCCGGCCCATCTGGAACCATCAGTATTATTGCCTGGGGCAATCTGGGCCGCTTCATGTCGGGACGACCGGTGAGCTCTATATTGGTGGTGTTGGAGTGGCCCAGGGCTATGTAGGCCGGCCCGACTTGACCGCAGAGCGCTTCTTGACGAATTCCTTTCACTCTGGGCGGATGTATCGGACTGGCGATATGGTCCGCTTCATGCCTCTGAAGCCGTGGGGAGACCCGTCCCGGCTTCAGCAGTTTACTGCCTCCGACGTCGTCTTGGAGTTCCTCGGCCGTATCGACTCGCAGGTGAAAGTCCGCGGCTACCGCGTGGAATTGGCAGAGGTGGAACTCGCCTTCTTGAAGCAGCCAGGTATCGAGGCCACAACTGTTTTGGCCTTGCCATCCGGTGAGAACGCGGCTGGCTACTTGGCAGACTCTTTAGCGGTCTCTCAAAACAACATTTGACAGGTGCTGCCGTTGCATACCGTAGCCATTTTGTTGAGATTTCGAAGCACTGTCGACGTGAAAGACCTTCTCTTGGGACATTCCGACCCAAAAGATCGACATGGCCAATGTGCAGGACTCGACCCTGTGTTCCGAGAAGACAGGCTCACAGGCCGTGAGCAAGCTTCTTCGAGATGTTGCACATGACCCAACTGCGACAACTGCCATACGACCTCATACGCCATGGAAGAAGAAGGGTCATCTTCAAGCGTTTGGCATGAGAAACAGAGGCTGTCGTGTGAACGGGTGTCCCGAAATGGATCAGAAGAAAAAGACAAGCACGAACATGTCACGGGAGGCAGCAAGGTTTATTCCGAGTCGAAGGTCCAGGAGGAGGCTTCATCAGGAATACTACCTGGCATGAGCTCTCCTGCGCGGAGGAACGGAAGTGGGTACGGATAGCCTCAAGCACCAATCTGAAGTCTGATGAAGATGAGATTCCCTGCGAGGCAGGCGTCGGCATGGCTAGTAGCCTCAAGACGCCAACCTCCGTG